ATTTCTTTGTCTATGGCGGCTTTTAAGAATTAACCTCAATTTCACAGTTTTGTTTGATTTTTTTGCTGGTCAATGACACCGTTCATGATCAATGATTCAGTCAGCGAGTGAGTAATTCTAGAACTTGACTCAAATTACTGGCGAAACAGGTGGTGCCGACCATCTGATTCAATCTGAATTCCCTTGATTAGGTCAAAAACAACGGGATGTTTCAAAGTGACAGCATGACTGAAAAGCAAAGTCTGAGAAAAGCTCTGCCCTTTTAATGTACCGTACACTCTGACCTTTTGTTCTGCAGTCTATCGAGTCATGTTGACTTCACAGATCTGATGTTTCGTGTCTGCTTTAGTAGTTGTTGCTAGGATATTGTTGAGTGTGCGTATGTATGTTGGTGTGTGTGTGTGTGTGTGTGTGTGTGTGTGTGTGTGTGTGTTTTTATTATTATTTTTGGTGTGGAGGGGGGGGGTTGAATGGTGCGAAGACAAGGACCCACATACTGTAGCACACCTCCTCCAGTCATGCTGATACTAATTTGACACATACAAGGACAAACTCGCAGACACCAGCGCAAACCCACGCACACACAGACACACACACACACACACACAGGGGATGAGTCATTGCCGGATCCTTAATTAGGACCATTTAAGCATGTTATGTGTGTCTCGCTTACACGCTACTCTTTCCCTCCCTAATTCCTTCTGTTCCTCGTTACTTCCTCGTCTCCTGGTTGGATGCATTTAGAAAATTGCAGCCTTTGACCACCTCTCTCCTTCTCGTTCTGGCTCTGCCTTTTCACACGTTTTCACGGGAGCTTCCCTCCTGAGAGATGCCGTGTGGGCACTGGGTAAAAGCTATGGACTATATACGAGAGACGGGGGAGGAAGGGAGAGAGGGGGAGAAGGGGTTTGACGATTATGTTATCTGATGTGTTGGAGAATGTGTGTGAATTGTGCATGGATACAGTCAATGCGGGAAGAGGGAGCGGAAAGGCCGAATACATTAAGACAGACAGTATGGAGGGGGAAGAATGTATTGTTTATATGCAGTATGTTCTACATGTATTTGGGCAAAAAATATATCTTTTTTTTTTTTTTTTTTAACAATACTTTATATATTGATGAGACAGGTTTAAGTGACTTCACTGTTTGTTTTGATTATCAAGTCACAGATCGTAATCCAACAAGAAACACAAGTAACACATAAAAACATGTAACAGTTTCATTTAAAAGCGGCCTGTAATACGATTCATTCATTTTTACTTACTTATATATAGATTAACTTAAATATTATCAACAGAATCAGATGGCAACAAAAAATTCAAGGATTTCTATCACTGGGTCTCCTTTATTAATGGAGGGCCGAGTCCCACTTGGATCAGTGAACAAAACACCGTAAAGTTTAGACAAAACAGCAAAAGAAGCAAACAACAAGTGAGAAGGAAACACAGATTTAGGACAGTTCACTGCACAAGGGGTAAAAACTTTAGTCAGAAGGATAGCATCTTAAATACTTTGACAGATTAGCTCTCCGGCTCATCTAGAACAAAAGGTGTTCTTCTGCCGACTCGTACAACCATGAGTAATGCATGTTTTCAAATACTTACTGTTTTTATTTCATGTAAAGGAAGAGATCAGAGCACAAAATCCGCCTCCAGTGATGAAATAATTCAAGGGACTCTCAGCTTTCTAACAATTGCAGGATTAGATTTGGAAAAAAAAAAAAAAAACTTTGCCAGAGAGTCAACATTGTTAAATTTAAGGCTTCACTTCCAACACAAGCCTCCAGGAACAGCATTGGACAGTCGGGCAATTTCTCTTTTGTACTGCAAGAAAAACTTTGCATACAAATGCTTTACAATCTAAAGAGAATGCTTCCTGGGCATCACACAAAAAGCAATTAATCACTTGATGATCACAATTTTAACCATTAAGTCTAATAAAACATAAAAGCAATAAGAGCTATCTTTTCATGCTTTGTGAGCACCCACATCAGTAAGGGGGAGAAACTTTTTTGCTGTGTGGACTGAGTGGGCAGCTTTGATTAGAATCAAACCCACCACTTTTGTTTTTCTCATCCATGTTTTACAGTTGTGGACAATTGGTAGCACACTTTTCTCCATAGAGCGTTTACTTTTTAAGACCGTAGAGACTGTTCTCTTTCCCAAACATGCAGCCCAGCGCAGAAGTTAGTCTGACATCCAAGATACGTGAATACAACCAAATCACATTATGTCCATCACAGGATACACACTTTAGTGAACATAATCATGTAAGAAATCAACAAGAGGTAGCTTTGAAATATTTGTCACTATTGTCATTGATGTCTCTTTGTGCATGTACAAGTATGTACTTACTGATCTGTTTGACATAAACCAAGATTCTAGCAAAAATATTGGCACCTCTTGGCAAAATGAAACTTAAGTAATTTGAGTATTTCAACATAAAACAAGACATCCTCACTACACATTCATGTAAAGGGGAGAGGATAGCTACACATACACAAATTCAGCAATGCTAGTTAATCCTGTCTTATGCGTTTGGCCACAGGTTCTCATCAACATCACAGCTTACAGTGTGTCCTCTCTAGAAATACAGAAGCTTTTTACATGCCTTATCCTTCCTTCTGCTATCTGCAATCCTCTGCAGATATGTCCAAACATCCTGGATTCATTGCCTCCAGGAGCCATATCTGATCATGTAACTGGTAGTCATAAACCTTGAACCTACATGAGGAAAGGCAAAGGAAAGTTAGGAGGATGGAAAGCTTAGGCCACCTTGGGATCGGCTGTAAACCACTCTGCGACTGGAAGAACATGGTGAAACAGCTCGTCATCCCATACTGTTACAAAACGCTCTGGGTGATCTCAAGGAATTAAATGAGTTGCTGAGTGTTGTGCTATCATTCTGATTTTTTTTTTTTCAATATAGAAACAAATCTTTTTTTCATGCAGATGTAGCAGAATGTAACAGATTACAGTCATTTTGTATTCTGTGTAAAATAATTATTTTTTTTTTTGTGTGTGTGTGTCAATACACAGTTTTGTGTCAGACCAATGAAAAGTAGATGAATCCATGGTGGTTCCTGTTGTGCTGACTGTGTGAAGAGTTTTGACAATGCAAACATCCAGGTTCCCGTAGGAATAAATACCGTAGTTAAGGCTGGAGCTAATTAGAAGAAAAAAAAACTGTGTATAGGAGGTCAAAAGTCATCTTAAAATTTGCCTGCTGTATTGGACTAGTCATGCAAAAGAGAATTTTATTTCATTTGTGGTTTGTTTACGTGCGTGTGCCTCTATATCTGTGTTTGTGTGAATGTGTGTGAATGTTTGTGTGCGCAAAGGCAGAATTTCCTCATACCAATTAGCCATGACACAGCTGTGCTTTCCCCACCTCATCTGCTCCTCGGTGGGTTTCAGTTGAACAATAATCTACTTTAGATACTGCGACGTTGCCTCCGAAGCTCACCAGTCATCAATATCAATGCTCCATCCGACGCAACTGCAAGCTCACACGCACACACAAATGCAGGTGACAACGGAAATAGACATCCGAAAGAAATGGAAGAATCAGATACAAAACGCAAGTCATTAGTCTGCTCCTCTCTCACATCCTCTGCTCTGTTGATGTATGGTCGTGTGATGTGTTATGGCACAGTGACGTTTTACCTCTTTGAAGTAGGCAAGGCCCCTAAAATATTCTCCTTATGTAACTGTCCCTGTTGCGAGGCCGCACAAGGCTGTGTGAGGCAAAGCGTAATGTGTGCGTGTGCTGGCGTTTGTGTGACTGTGTGCGTGTACAGTACGTAAGCACGCATTTGTATATGCCCGTCTTGCCTGCGTGTTTGAGAGACAGACCGTGCTTTCTCCTCCGTGAATTATGCAGACCAGGATGAGGGCACAGGGCGGAGAAGATCAGGCAGTTACACGGCTTTTGAATTAGAAGAGTCAAAACACCTGGCATGAGACGCAACCACACGAACCGGGGCAGGAGGGAGAGGATGAGAATGTAGTGGCTACGGAAAGAGAAACTTTAGCGAGGACGGCAGCAAGTGAGACAGAGAGCAGGATGAGGAGGGGGATTTTGGAAATGGGTCGGACTGAGACCACTAAGAGGGGAAAGAGCATGAGGGGGGGTAAGAGAGATGTTGACTCTGGGGTTCAGAGGGTTGATAGTGGTTTAAGGCCATGTTTGGTGTTGTAATGAGAAACAAAATACAGAAAAGGAACCAGAAGCACAGCGAAAATAAGGAACTTTCAGACCTACAAATCAAATCTTCACATTTACAGTTTCTCTATATATAGTCTCACCATGTACAGAAAACCCACCTAATTATGCGTAATTACTCTGAATAGCCTGTGATTAGCAGGCAAGAAGCCATTTTGTGTGAAACTCTCTCGCGCGTTCTCTCTTTCTTTACCAGTTTGTACGGCTACCTCTGTGAGCACACTGATTAATCCTCGCCCCGTACCCAAACCCAAACCATCACACCTAAACCTAATTTTACCCCAAAACCACATCTGGACCCTCAAGGCGTGAAAAGGTCAGGATTAACCTGATCGTCTTCACTTTCCTAAAATACTGTCCCTCCAAAGGTCTCAAGTTCAAACCAGTTCTCATAAAGATATCTGGATGAATACACCGACACACACATCTCCATGAAAGAGAGCACAAAGCACAAAGTGGGCTGGATATTTTTAGTACAGCAGCTTTTTTTTTAAAACCTCTCTCCCATAATTAGAAAGTGTCTTGACAAGAGAATCATGTGATATCGCAGGTGTCAAATTTATACCCTCTTGTTAACAGTTTTAGAACAGTTTTTTCTTTTTATGGCTCCAGTTGCTGATGTCAGAAGCCAATTCATCACAGTTTTTTTTTTCCTTCTCTTAACTTCCTTCTTCCTTCCCTTTTCACATTTCTGTCCCTTTATCTGTGTTGTTCTTCCCCATTTTCCCCTCTGCACCCTCTGTTTCTCCTGCTCCCACTTGTTTTCTTGTGCAGGTATTGGTCAGGGTGTGCCGGTGGTGGCTCTTATTGTAGAGGGAGGCCCTAATGTGATCTCCATAGTGCTGGAGTACCTCAGGGACACTCCTCCGGTCCCTGTGGTGGTGTGTGACGGCAGCGGCAGAGCCTCAGACATCTTGGCCTTTGGACACAAATACTCCGAGGAGGGAGGGTATGCACTCACATGTGCACATTATGCTGTAATCCAAGGACAAACACTTATACATATTTTATACGGTGTGGACCAAGTGCTACACAGGAGACTACCAGGGACTGTTTGCAATCAGAACATCCAACAGTTGTCATGTATGTTTATCAGCGCTCAGTGCCGTTGGATAAAGCTTAACAAGTAAACTATTTTATTTAGAGGTTTATTCTGCTCCATTAATACAATTCTGCAGTTATGCATTTTGAGGGAAATAAAATTTGGTATTAGAATAAAAACTTGAATGTTTGTGAAATGTGCTGATGCACTACCTTAATGACACAAGCAAGTAAACATTTTTGGTTATATTTCTCAAATAAATGCAGAATAGTTTTTATAGTCCCATACATCCAGTTACAGATGAAGGTAAACTTGCAAATTTACATCCCGCCAAGGACTCAGAGACAGTGGTGCTGAGAGTCCCTGCCAACCTTGGTTTCACTTACTGACAAACAAATCTAATTTGCCTGTTTCCCTGTCACCACATTCTTTTCTTTACCTCTATCTGACCCCGCGCCTGACACTCTCTTTTCTACTCATCTCTCCCTCGGCAGCATAATTAATGAGTCTCTAAGAGACCAGTTGCTGGTGACCATCCAGAAGACGTTTACCTACAGCCGCACACAGGCCCAGCATCTGTTCATCATCCTCATGGAGTGCATGAAGAAGAAGGAACTTGTGAGTCATTTTCTTTTACAGACACACTCTTCACACACATTTGCACATGCGTAGGTATATGTACAAACGCACAAAGAGCAAGCTGATGTGCAGTGTGTTCATAAAACATTTACGCACAGGCAAATTCAAATAGAGAGACACACATGCTCAGACAGGCTATTAAACCACTAATGACACCAATATCACTACTCACTTAAGCTTTGATGTCTCTGCTGTGTGAAGAAACCCAAAAATGAAGAATATGTGAAGAAAAAACAAAATGGATTTGTCAAATGAAGCGTTCTCATCATGAAACTTTCATTGAAGCAATTATTACTACATCTTTTATGTATGACATGCAATGTTAAGTAGATGTAAATGTATTCAGATGACGCTCAGGACCAAATGGCCTCCACCTTGAGTCTGTGCCCCTTTGGCAGTGTTTAAGTCAAGACTCACGTCTTGTCAAGCAAGACGGTCACACACATCCTTCTCCCATGGGCAGAGGGATGTGTGTGATTCCTCCTGGGGAGGAGTTTTAGTCCCTTTAGAGTGCTGTCAGTCACATGAAACCAACCTCTTGTTAATGCTGTTAAACACTGTGCATAGAGGGGATGTGTATTCATGTATTGCTGTGTGCATATCTTTACACAGTTGCATTGTGGGGACTCACCTTTCATTTGGGGACCAAAGGCAAGTCCCCGAAATACAAATCAAATAAAAAATGAAATTGTGGTTTAGGTTACAGTGTGATTAGGTTTCAGTAATGAGGGTAGTCTGACCCCCATGATGTAGACTGGGGTTATAGGTTTGCCATTGCTAGTGTATTTAATGCAGCATTCTCCTCCCCTTCTGCTGTCTGCGTGGTACCCCTTTCCAAAACCCCTTCACTATGGGAAGTTAGAATCCCCTTCCGAGGTTTGACAAAGTGCAGGAAGGCAAGCTTTGTTGGTTCTTTCCATGAATGTTTTGTGAAGACTTACAAAGAATGTTTACAACACTAACATAGACTTTCTTGCATGTTTGCTCACTGGCTACAGAAAAAGTTTCATTTTCCAAGCATATGCTACCAAAACAAGTTCCTCTCCAACACTGTATTCCAGGGGCACCATTGCTGCATCCTGGGCTTAGCGCCACCCAAGACAGCTGTGATTGATATAAATTGATCTACAAACAACCAGAGCATTTGTTTCACCTTGAATAATAAGTCGAGGCACCCCATTCTGCAGCATGCTGCGTTAGCTGTCATACAGCAACAAGGTAGATCTGACTACTTCTACTAACAGATAGTCTTCATAGCACCAGTACAAAATCAATAGCAAACATTTCTGAATGTCCTTGGCAAAATGACTGTTACAAGCTGTACCAACTATATCCTACTGGAGTCTTGTGAATATTAGGTGGCCACTGAGGACAATGGTTAGAAAGATACAAGTGTAGACCAAACTGGTGACAGCCTAACCTATACACATATTTTGTTAGTCAAATAATATTAGATATCTTATATATATATATATATATACATATGTTTTCAAAGGAGTCTGAAAGACTGTTACCTTGAAGGTAAAGTAAAGCAGCTGGTATAATGTAGTGATTCAGTGTTCATTGTAGAAAAACTTCTATGTTGAGGCATTCCAGTATTCAGCATTTATTCCTGCAGTCAGGGCCAAAGTTCCCCATAAATTAACACGTGACAAAATGAATCTGAATATCTCTATGGTGATTCTAAGGTTAATAATGCTCAGATAGGACAGATAGTTCAGCCTTCAGAACTGAATGAGAGTCTCTATAATGTTCTCTGAAGTAATGAAAACACGATTATGTTTGTGTTCAGGGTTCAGTTTATCTGCACACGTTGAGAATGAAAGAGTACCACAGCATTGCATAAAGTCCAACCTGACACTCATGATTGGCTTGATATTATGATATATATTTCCTGGGATGCACAAAACAAAAAAACCCCAGCGAGCAGCTTTTACTGTATCTTAGCTCTGCAGCAACACTAACTTATTTACTACTTGACTGCTCTCGCACCAACTCTCTCTGAACATAGTGTACTACATGTTTTGTAAGCGAGGGAATATTTGCCAGATCAGTGACTTTTGCTGCTGCTGGCTCATAGTGACATTTTGCAAATAAATTCATAATTAGTAGCACACACACAAGCACACTTTTTCTTTTCTTCCAGTTAAAATTCTCACCTTGAATCACAACGACTGGTGTATTTGAAATGACTCAACCAGGTATTCAGTATGTCGTCCCTGTTTAATCATTTAATTTTGTGTTTCACTTATTACAGTAATCATAGCACACTGAGTCATGAACCACACACCGGCAGCACATGCACACACATAGTAAACATAGTATTTTTGTGTGTATCCCAGCTTTGGTTGAGGCTGCGCAGCGTGTAAGTGGATTGATTGCACCCTCAGTGGGGTTCCAGTGGCAGACTGATGCTCACATTGATGGATCTTCTGAGCACAATACACCGGAGCAGAACAATGGGGTGTGAATCATTCAGCAGGAGCAGCTGTAACACCCTGATAATCTCGTGCTGCCTCTCTCTCAACTTACAAAATTATTACCACTGCCTTATTGAAACTGAGCCCCGAAAGTATGCCTTGACAACATTCTCAGTCCACATCCAAGCGTCACTTTGACAATAACATATCTGCAGTTCAGATCAATTTGGTCATGACTTTCCAAACTGTGACAGTTGCTTATGAATGAATTTAACCTACATTTACCTTTTAAAGACAGTCTTCCTCATCTCTACACTACCTTTGAGTTCAAGTAGTGGAAAAGTACAGTTTGCTTGTAAAGCTGCATATTTTATACTTCTGCATGATCATAAATTGCAGCGTGCAGGTAATTCCAACAGTATTTTAGGTAATTATTTTTGGGATTCAGCTCTTGGTTTTGTGTGTAGGATACTAATAAATTGTTTGGTTTATAACCTTACTGCCATAAAACATTTACCAGAGACATAAAACTTTAATAGCAAACTCTAATAATTCAGTAGCAGCAGTCCTATTACTTGTGTATCTTCCACAAAAAGTCAGGCTTTTCTCAAAGGACACATACTGCAGTCATTAGAGTTTCACAGAGGGAGTCTCAAAAATCCAAAGTTATTTGTTAATTATGGTTATTGGAGAAGGAGGAAATAGAGGTGTCATCTCTGCAGTCTGGCACCTTTCTGCTTCTCTTATAGTGATGCTACATTCACAGCTGAGCAAGCCGAACAGATCTTTACAATGACCGAAGGATCTCAGTCTTCTAGGTGAACAATTCAGTCTGGTCTACTCAATCAAGTCACACCTCGTTTCACATTTCACTAAATGGCCAGTGAGAAAGCAGCATGTCGACAATGTCGTGCCGTCCCCCTGCTTGTATTGACTGACTGAGCCAGAGCGAGGACAGTCCGATCCAAACTCCCCTGATCATTTGTTCACTGACTGACTGAGTGACCGAGACTGATGAGATTGACTGATGAGACTGGAAGTCGCAACTGGGCAGGAAGAAGAGACTGAGCTGTAAGCAGCAACGATTAAGCAGTGACCAATCTAATGCTAACGTACAATCTAACCTTAAACTTGAGACAATACAGAAGAGGCTAAATTAATTAATAACTAAAATACATTCCCAGTGAAGAGCCGCAGAGGGAAGCTTAATATCTAATTTCTCACTGCCTGTGTGGGTTTTGCAAATTAGGCTATTTTTTTTTTAAAATCTATTATTTCATTATTATTGTGAGGAGCATTGCTTTGTTGTGTTGTTATGCTTTTGTTGGCTGCTGTACAGGTTACGTCCAAGCACAACAATGTGTTATTAGAGTGAGAAATGTTGCTTAAGAAATTAATAGGTTTGATCTATTTTGATGATTTTTTCCTGTCTATGGGAGTGTGTATGATTATAAGATTATGAAGGATTTAATTAAGGGTGGGAAAAAGAGGCCCGTTTGTGAAACAGATATCCGTGGTGTGAAAATAAACAAAGTTTCTGACACTATGGGGACATAATTGTAGCTGAGCAGGGAGCTGGGATGAATGTTGAGGGATGAAGGGGCACCGAGGGCGCTGAACAATGACTGAGAGAAAGAAGGTGGGATCACTGGAGACCAGAAACAGCTGAACTGGATGATATAAAGTCGTGGTGAGCCAGTTGCCTGCAGTAAGTAGCAGAGTGAACAACTGAACGATTAAAAGAACAAATCATTGTAGTGAAAGAACCAGCTCTGCCAAGTGAACAATTATTTCCGTCCCTGTTCTTACTGAGGTGATTTCTGCACCCTCCGATTCATCAGGCTAATGCGCATCACATGGGCTATCGGCTCCAGCTCGCACTCACGGCACGTCTGCACAGAAAGCGTTTCAGCTGCGTCTTTCTGTTGTCCACCTCGTGCACATCTGTCAGAACAGATACTCTCCCATGTTAATCAGTCCAGCTGTCTGCACAGATGGCCTAACTGCTCGCGTTTAACTTGGTGTTAACTTGATCTTAAAGGCAGTTTTACTCTTCGAGTCTATTTTCCCGTGTTGTGCACACACAGCTACAAGGATTGTGCATTGTTCAAACTGTAACTGACATACAAGTCAATACTGTGTCTGAACACATCTAGTGTAGACACATACAGAGCACGAGAGCTTCTGCTGCTGCTGCTGCTCCGCTAACATGCTGCTCATGTTTCACCTTGTACAGACACTGTGTCAGAGAGCCCTGAGTGTGGAGCGTATGTGAGCGTGAGACTGGAGGGGACATACTGGAGAGGAAAAACACATGGCGAGAATGAGCAAAAGAGACAGTTTCCAGTAGAGCGTTGTTAAGATTACTCAGTTTTATTAATCTATTAAGACCTAAGACGCGCCTTTCAACACACATGTAGAAACATACATGTTGCTTCAGGTTCTAATGGGTAAAACAAAAAAGATTTAGCAAAGCCCATCAGTGAAATCATTTACTGTCACAAAATTTGAGCTTTTTTTTTTTTTTTACCTGCTCCATATAACATGCACAAAAGTTGC